GACCAGTGCCCAAAACCCCATGCGAAACTGTCTTATACCAAGCCCTGAGTCCAAGGGCAGCCGTGACTCAGCGGCAGAGCATCCGCTTGGTATGCAGAAGGTCCCAGGTTCGATCCCCAGCATCTCCAGTTAAAAGATCAAGAAGCAAGTGATGTGAAAGACCTCCGCCTAACACGCTGGAGAGCCGCTGCCAGTCTGAGTAGACAATATCGACCAAGGGTCCCATGCAGTATAAGGCAGCCTCATGCGTTCGTGTGAGCCAAGCCACCGGTCCACTGAGCTCAATGCTAGCCCTGTGCGTGTTAGAGGGATCACACACATACATCCCGCATGTACATGCATATGTCTGTTCGTATGAAACAGCCAGTGTACGTTCACTTTACAAACAAAACCAGGAACGAGTACCTGGATAAATACGAAGCTCAAATACTTTGGCCACCCAATGAGAAGGGAGCACTCACTGGAGAAGACCCTGATGCTGGGAAAGACTGAAGGGCAAAGAAGAAGGGGATGCCAAAGGATGAGATGGTTGGACAGTGTTATCGATGCGACGAGCATGAGGTTCAGCGAGCTCCAGGGGACAGCGGAGGACAGGAGGGCCTGGCGTGATGTGGTCCGTGGGGTCGCAAAGAGCCGGACTGAACAACATCACATGTTCAGTGGTACATGAGCTGTGGAGTCTTGCGAACAAAAATTCTACTTTGTGAGCTACTGGCATTGAAGTGGTGAGTGAGCGGTTTGGCTACTGCATAAAATCAGTTTGCTCTGGAGCCCTCCTTCCGGAGCGAAGGCAAAAACGTGTGAGCCGGAGGCTAAAAACCTGTGACCTAGCTCACACTAACTCAGCTTAGAGGGAACACTGGACTCACCACAGATCAGAAGCAACTTGACGGCACGCCGTGCACAAGCCCTGATGTCAGAGGCATCACCTCTCCCTTCTTCTCTGGCACCCCCTCTTTTCATAGATACACTTGTGCCTCCTGTGTATTTCCGCCTGCGGCTCGCCCTGGGGCAAGTGCACATCAGCCTGTCTGCAGAGACGCCGCAGGAGCTAAGCGTACTGCCACCACCCCCTATATTGGTGGTGGTACTGCACACACCTCCGGGTGCAGCAGCCAGCCCACACCTCCCTCCCTCTTTAAACAGCAGGCCTGGCATGTACAGCCAAAAAATATAATAATTCTCTCCCATTCATTTTCTGCAGCCAGTTCACACCAGCTTCAGCGGAGGGAGCACAGTCCACTGGAGCGGAAAGGAGACTCAGGTCCTTGGATTCTTGTGCCGTGAGTTGTCAACTGTATTCAGATGGAGGGAGGGACTCCTTCAAAGACTACAAAGGGCCTTTCCCCGACACCAGTTTATTCCAAAATATGAAAGGGGGGGGGAGAGAGGGGAAAACAAAGCACACGGCCTGTTCGCTCTGACCACAGGAGGCTGTTCCCAGTTTAAACTAGGGTGAGCAACAAAGCGAGAGTCCTCAGAAGAGCCTCCCGATCCTTCCAAGGTGGGAAAAAACACTCCAAGCAAACTTGGTATTGCTGGTGGAAAGTTATCAAGTCACAACCAATGCTCCCTCTAAGCTGTGGAGTCTCGTGAGCAAAAATTCTAGTTTGTGAGCTACCGGCATGAAAGTTGTGAGTGAGCGATTTGGCTCCTGCATAAATTAGTTTGCTCTGGAGCCCTCCTTCCTGAGCCAAGACAAAAATGTGTGAGCCAGAGACTAAAAAACTGAGCTGGCTCACACCAACTCAGCTTAGAGGGAACACTGGTCACAACTGACTTACGGCGAACCCCCCCCCCAAGGGGTTTTTGAGACAAGCGATAGAGGTGGTTGGCCATTGCCTGCCTCTGCTTCATGGCCCTGGAATTCCTTGGAGGTCTCCCTTCCAAATATTAGCCAAGGCCGACCCGGCTTAGCTTCCAAGATCTGATGGGATCAGGCTTGCCTGGGCTACCCAGGTCCAGGGCCAGTCAAACTTACCCCAAAGTAAAAAAAAATAAAAATCACATTCATTTACTGCACAGGCAGATGATCAGACCAAATGAACTGGGGATAATTAAAGGAGGAAAGAGCCACGCCAGAAAAGAACTGCTGACTGCAAAAAGGTACTTCTGATTTAAAGTAAAGGTAAAGGTGAAGGTCTCCCTTGCTCGAAAGCCAGTCGGGTCCGACTCTAGGGTTGCGGTGCTCATCCCCGTTTCAAAGCCGAAGAGCCAGCGCTGTCCGAAGACGTTTCCGTGGTCATGTGGCCGGCGTGACTAAACACCAAGGCGCACGGAACGCTGTTCCCTCCCCACCGAAGTGGTACCTATTTATCTACTTGCAATTTCTTGCTTTTGAACTGCTAGGTTGGCAGGAGCTGGAACGAGAGACGGGAGCTCACTCCGTCCTGCGGCACACTTGGGTCTCAAACTGCTGAACGACCGACCTTCCACAGCCTGCGGTTCAGCGTCTTAACCACTTGAGCCACCGCAGCACCGCACTTCTGATTTACTCCAAGGTAAAACGGCAAGGCCTTTACCTGGATAGCCCTGGCTAGTATTTGGATGGGAGTCCACCAAGGGAGTCCAGGGTTGCTACACAGAGGTAAGCAATGGCAAACCAGCCCCATTCCTCTCTTGAAAACCCTATGGGGTCGCCATAATCTTGACCACAAGATAAAATAAAATAAAAGTGGGCAGAATCAGACCCCAGGACTCCAACAGGAAAGAAAATTACAAGTCTCCAGTACAACAGGAACCAAACTTGTCACTCCGGCTTTATATTAAAAGTGACTAAGAAGGAACCATCCCACATTATTCATCCCAGAACCAAAAAAAAGGGAATTGGGATTACTTATGATTTACTACAAGGGAGGGCAGGAGAAACATCAAGTCCGGTCACTGCAACAGAGAGACTACCGGTTTACACCTGACATTAATGACGAGAGTCATGTGTGTCATCATTCCCACGACCTGCTATCTGATTTGTGCAACAGGTTGGGAAATTGTGCGGCTAGCTTTGGGGAAATCTTTCTTGCCTCAAACTTGGTGGACCGTAAAACAGTAAATCACCGTGTACAAATAAACAATATAAGTTGACTTTTATCTGCAATGTTTTAGAATTCAATTACAAACAAAATTACAACCATAACACTATAATATGCAATATAAAGCTTAGCAGTACATATAGAATACTACAGTACTAGTTTCAGACCAACGACGGAGTTCTAGTACACTATCCGTTTGCGAGTCCTTCTTCAGGTTTGTCATTCTGTACTTATATCTTCATTAGAATGAAGTGCTGCAAGCCATATTTCAAAATGCTAATTCTTATACAATTTTTTGATGTACGCTACCGCGCTTATTCTGGTGACTGGGGAGCTCCTATAGCAAGCTCTAATGTGACTGGGTCTACAGTATATAATAATTGGCTAAGCTTCCCTCAGGTTGCTAAATCAGAATTTATTTATTTTTGCAATTCCGCACATGCTCAAAAACACTGTTTTCATTGCTTCCCGTCGCCCCGGCTCTCCACGCCAGACCTATTCTCTTCCTTCTTCAAAGGCTCTAATGGAAGGCTGCTCTCTCTCTCTCTCCCCCTGCATCGTTCGGTTTGCCGCTTCTCTTAAATCTGTAAATCAAACGGCTTGGATGAATCATCCGAAACTGGGACCACATGAAAGAGGCCAGTTCGGGCACCCGCAGCAAGCCCTGAATTCCAGGAAAAAACCCTCCCTCTTTCATCCTCCCCATCTTTTGTCCTATGTGCTTTGTGACTTTTGGGGGGAGGGGAGGAATCCACCCACCCTTTTGCAGCGAGTCTTTCTTTCCTTTGGAGGAAGACGTCTCCCTTTTCTCCAGGTGTCTGGGGATGGAGAAGGGGGCGGGGTTCTGACTCCTGTGATCCTTGGGTTAACAAAACGAGATTTTCCTCGCCACTTGTCAACCCATCGCTCCCTTCTCAACCGTCCCCCAGCCCACCCAGCCCACTGACTGCAGCAACTAGTTCCTCTCCGCAGAGACGCCCCTAGGTGGATCCGTTCCCTAGTGGCTGATCTCCGCCATCTGTCAAAGACGCTCTGGACCAGATCTATTCTGCGGGAAGGGAGCCAAAGAAATCCCCAGATCTCCTGGGAGAAGAAATCCAGCCTCTCTCCCACATGCTCCAAAAGCGCAATGCAAGATCTGGGAAACCCTCCTTCAGGATCAAACCCGGACAAGGGCTCTAGTTGTACACAAGAAGCCATGGCCCTTAAGCAATGCTCCCTCTAAGCTGTGGAGTCTTGTGAGCAAAAAGTCTACTTTGGGAGCTACCGGCATTAAAGTGGTGAGCGAGCAATTCGGCTGCTGCATAAATTAGTTTGCTCTGGAGCTGAGAGCAAAATGTGTGAGCCAGAGGCTAAAAAACTGTGAACTGGCTCACACTAACTCAGCTTAGAGGGAACACTGCCCTGAAGCATTTCTCCCCTACCCTAATCTAGGCGCTTCCCTTGCATCTTTGCATCCAGAGTCGCTTCTCTGCAACCCCTCTCACCCTCCAGACTGAGAGCTAAGGGTTCAGGTCAATGTTCCCTCTAAGCTGTGGAGTCCTGTGAGCAGAAATTCTACTTTGTGAGCTACTGGCATTAAAGTTGTGAGCAGGTAGTTTGGCTGCTGCATAAAATTAGGCTGCTCTGGAGCCCTCCTTCCTGAGCTGAGACAAAAATGTGTGAGCTGGAGGCTAAAAACCTGTGAGCTAGCTCACACTAACTCAGCTTAGAGGGAACACTGGTTCAGGCATCTCCCTTCTAAGGGACCTCGGAATCTCCAAGGCTTAGACCCCCCCCAAACCTTGCTGGTCTCCAAGGCGCAACTGGAGTCTTTTTACTGCAGACCAACACCTCTACCTGGCGCTGTCTCCTGCCCAGAGGTTTCTCTCCCAGACAGATTTCCCCCTTTGTTCCAGTCCTGTCAAAACACACACACACACACCTTTGTTACGCCTTCTGCGATTCTTCCGACGAAAAAGGCCCCCTTACCCCAGCAGCAGGCGTTCCAGACCGCCTCCAGAGCCGCTGCCCCGCAGCTGCAATCCATCCTCCGCCAGATCCTACCCTGGGACTCCGCGTCTCCGCCTGCCTCCGCCGCTCCGAGAGGCGCCCGCACCAAGCAAGCAAGCCCGCCCGCCTGCAGGAGCTCAGAAAGGCAACACCTCCCCCTCCTCCTGGAGGCTTGCTCGCTTGCTTGCTTGCTACGGTTGCGTAGATTCCGCCAGCCGGCGACGCCTGTGGTCTTCCTCCCCTGCTGCCGGTCAGGGAGCGAACCCCTCCTTGCTTGCAAGAGGAGAGCCGGCTGCAAGAAGAAAGGCGAGGAAAGGCCGTGCCCTTTTGGAGTTCCCGTTCGCGGGTTGCCCGGGCAGGCGGCGCAGAGGGGCACAAAGGCCGCCAGACGCCTTTTGCAAGCAGGGCTCTTGGCAGGCGGCTCGTTCGCCTGCCGCTGCAATTGCATTCGGTGGGGAGGGAGTGGCACCGGCGGCGAGGTGGGAGCGGCGGGTCGGGAGGAGGGCCGGCCCTGGCGAGGGCGGAGCGGCAGCGGGGAGGCTGCGGAGGCGCCCCGCGCGCGATTGGGCAGAACGCGGGTTTGGCGAGGCCGTCCGGCTTGCGCCCAGGCGGCGGCGGTGGTTGATGCCTCGTCGGGTCCCGACTTGCTCTGCCGCACGGGCAGGAGGAGAAGAGTTGCTTTCCAAGCCAGGCCTCTCTGTCTGCACAAAGCCTCGTTCTTCCAAAGTCCAAACGGATGCCAAGCCCCAAAAGCAGGAAGGCTCGAGGAGAAAGCGGCCAAGTGCGGTCCCGGGGACTCTGTCCCTGGCTACCCTCAAGAGGCGGGCCCAGCAATGCGGTTGCCAACCTCCGGGTGAGGGCTGGCGTTCTCCCGGAATCACAGGGATCAGTCCCCCCTGGAGAAAACGGCTGCTTTGGAGGGTGGACTCTGTGGCTTGAGACCCTAGGGCTCCCTCTAAGCTCAGTTAGTGTGAGCTAGCTCACCGGTTTTTTAGCCTCCGGCTCACACATTTTTGTCCTAGCTCAGGAAGGGATGGCTCCAGAGCAAACTAATTTATGCAGTAGCCAAATTGCTTGCTCACAGCTTTAATGCCAGCAGCTCACAAAGTAGAATATTTGATCTCAAGACTCCACAGTTTAGAGGGAACATTGCATGAGACCCTAGGGTTGCCAGCCTCCAGGTGGGGCCTGGGGACCTCCCCCTTCGACAGCTGATCTCCAGCCGACTCCCGCTTTTACAACTGATCTCCAGCTGACAGAGATCAGCTCCCTTTGAGAAAATGGCTGCTTTGAAGGGTGGACTCTAGGGCATCGGACCCTGCTGAGGCCCCTCCCCTCCCCAAACCCCGCCCTCTTCTGGATCCACCCCCAAAGTCTCCAGGTAACTTTCAACCCAGACCTGGCAACCCTATTATACCCTGCTGAGAGTCCACCTGCACCCAAACCCCTGCCTTCCCCCAGGCTCCACACCCAAATCTCCAGGAATTTCTCCACCAGCATTTCCCAGTAATGCCTGGAAATCTCCCAGGATTACGACTGATCTCCGGGTGACAGAGATCAGCTCCCCTGGAGAAAATGGCTGCTTTGGAGGGTGGACTCTACGGCATAATAACCTGCTGAGTTTTCTCCCTTCCCAAACCCCACCCTCCTCCAGTTCCACCCCCAAATCTCCAGGGATTTCCCAGCCAGAAGCTGGTAACCCTACCAGTGAGAGTATCGCTATAGCAAAGTAGCTCACCTCTTGCCAATCATGAAAGCAGAAAAAACAGTTCGCTTACAGGCAAGGGTCGTAGCTGCATTCACATTTTTCAATTAGTTTCGTGCTGCTTTCTCTATGCTTGTTTGAACGTTGTTTGGAGAAGATTCTTTTAAAGCAGTGCAGAGGTGCACTGACAGTGGAGCCCCCCCAAACGACCGGTGGACGTGCAAAAATATGCTAGCACTCTTGAGGTGTGAAAACGACACCAAATGTAGACAGCTTTTTTGAAGATGGAGTCAAAAGGCTGGGACACCGGCAATGTTCCCTATAAGCAGTGGGGTCTTGTGAGCAAAAATTCTACTCTGTGAGCTCCTGGCATTAAAGTCGTGAGCGAGCAATTTGGCTGCTGCATGGATTAGTCTGCTCTGGAGTCCTCCTTCCTGAGCCAAGACAAAAATGTGTGAGCCGGAGGCTAAAAAACTGTGAGCTAGCTCACACTCACTCAGCTTAGAGGGAACCCTGGACACCGGTGGGAAAGGCAAATGCAGATTCAGCCCTAGTAAGGGGTGTCTGCATATTCAGGGGACTCTCCAGGTGTGCTGGAAAAAAATGCGACTTTGTAAACTGACAGCCATTTTTAAAAATGCCCTGATGAGAACTGAGCATGCATCAGCAGGCCTGGAATGTGAAGAACAGCTGAGAGTCCGGTTAAAGCAAAAAGCAAAAATAAATAAATAATAAAAATAGCTAGTTCAAACCCTTGGAAACCGAATAATGAAGAAGTTTTTTTGGGGGGGGGGGATTTTAAAACTGTTCCCTTCTCCTGAGAGTTCTTATACCCCCCTGCATTTTGGTTTTTATCAGTTATTGTTCAATAGCCAGTATGCTGGTTACGGTTACACACCTTCTGCATCCCCCCCCCCACTTCGTTGAACCACATTGTGAAAATAAATACATACAATCCCTGCCTGAATTTGAGCCTCCATACTGTAGCTCTAGGAGTTGCGGTGGCTCAAGTGGTTAAGACGCTGAACTGAAGGCTGCGGAAGGTCAGTAGTTCAGCAGTTCGAGACCCGAGTGTGCCGCACGACAGAGTGAGCTCCCGTCTCTAGTTCCAGCTCCTGCCAACCTAGCAGTTCAAAAGCAAGAAATTGCAAGAAGATAAATAGGTACCACTTTGGTGGGAAGGAAACAGCATTTCGTGCGCCTTGGTGTTTAGTCATGCCGGCCACATGACCACGGAAACGTCTTCAGACAGCGCTGGCTCTTCAGCTTCGAAACGGAGATGAGCACCGCAACCCTAGAGTCGGACTCGACTGGCTTTCGAGCAAGGGAACCTTTACCTTTACTGTAGCTCTACAGTTCAGTCAATACATAAATGGGGGGCACTTAGAGATAAGAACACATTCCACCCAGCCAACGGACTGCATTTTCCAACATTCGTTTCAGTGGGCAAATTAAGCACACTCTCCGGTCTATCTCGCCCAGATCAATGGGACTTTTAAAGGACTCCAAAGTTTGGCTGGAAGGTGCTCACGCTAATCAATTGTTGATAGAAGCTCTTATCCAAGTACAAAGTGCTTTTGCAACTCTCGGCTTCCAAAGCAGGATCACAGCCGAACATCACAAAGACCAAAGTAATGACTCCTGGGGAGTTACGCAACTGTAAGGCCAACAACGAAGAAACTGAAATTGTACAAGATTTTCTATCCTTGGGCAACCATCATCAACCAAAAGGGAGACCGCGACCAAGAAATCAGAAGGAAGAAGAAGATTGGGTTTATACCCCGCCTTTCACTACCCAAAGGAGTCTCAGAGCGGCTCACAAACCCCTTCCCCTCTCCACAACAGACGCTCTGTGAGGTAGGAGGGGCTGAGAGAGCTCTGACAGAAACTGCTCTTTTTTTCAAGAACAGCTCTGACAGAACTATGGCTTGCCCAAGGTCATCCAGCTGGGTGCAAGTGGAGGAGTGGGGAATCAAACCCAGTTCTCCCAGATTAGAGTCTGCACACTTAACCACTATACCAAACTGGCTTGAAACTGAGAAGGGCAATCATGAAGGAGCTAGAAAAAATCCTTATGTATAAGCATGTGTCTTTGGCAACCAAGATCAAGACAATTAATACTATGGTATTTTTCAGGGCTATTTTTGGGCAGGAACGCACAGGAAAGGAGTTCCTGCTGGCTCCTGAGTTGGCCACGCCCAGCAGGAACTCATTAGCATAATAGGCCACACCCAACAGCAGGAACTCATTCGGATTGGCTACATTAGGGGGGGTGTGACCTAACATGCAAAGGAGTCCCTGCTACAAAAAAAGCCCTGGGTTTTGACAACAAACAAGGTAAACAGAATAACAAGCAAAAGGTGGGTGTGGCTGGATGACCACACTTTTGGCAACACGGGGCTGCGGCCTAATATGCTAATGAGCTGTGGTGGCAGGGTGTGGCTTAATAGGCGAATGAGTTTCTGCTGTTGGGTGTGGCCTATTATGCTAATGAGTTCCTGCTGGGCTTTTTCTACAAAAAGAGCCCTGGTTTCCCCATTATTATGTATGGGTGTGAAAGTTGGACAATGAAGAAGGAGGGCAGGAAGGAAGCCGATTCCACTGAAATGTGATGTTGGACGAGCGTTTTACAGAGACTGTGGACCTCCAAAAAGACCAATCAGTGGGACCTCGATCAAATCAAGCCTGAATTCTCCCTAGAAGCTAAACTGGAGCTGTTGTACTCTGGTCACATCCTGAGAAGACAAGAGTTACTGGAAAAGACAATCATGCTAGGAGAGGCTGAGGAAGCAGGAAAAGAGGAGATGGGTTGACTCAGTCAAGGAAACCGTGGCCTTCAGCTTGCAGGACCCGAGCAAGGCGGTTAAGAAGAGGATGCTTTGGAGGTCATTCATCCACAGGGTCACCATAGGTCAGATGTGACTTGAGAGCAGGTAACATGTTCTGATGGAGCTGCGGTGGCTCAAGTGGTTAAGACGCTGAACTGCAGGCTGTGGAAGGTCGGTAGTTCAGCAGTTTGAGACCCGAGTGTGCCGCATGACAGAGTGAGCTCCCGTCTCTAGTTCCAGCTCCTGCCAACCTAGCAAGAAATTGCAAGTAGATAAATAGGGACCACTTCAGTGGGAAGGTCACAGCATTCCGTGCGCCTTGGTGTTTAATCATGCCGGCCACATGACCACGGAGACGTCTTCGGACAGCGCTGGCTCTTCGGCTTTGAAATGGAGATGAGTACCGCAACCCTAGAGTCAGATTCGACTGGCTTTCGAGCAAGGGAAACCTTTACCTTTACCTAACATGTTCCGATGCCGTGTACCTCTTGACACCGGTTCCAAGGGGACTGAAATGGTGGGAAGAGCTGCTGCCTTTCATGTTCTACTTGTATGTTCCCCAGAAACATTTTGTTAACTGGTTAATGTTGGCTACGGGGTACTGGTGG